GACATTTTAATGTGCTTTTTGACCATTATAGCTCTTTCCTTCTTTATAACTTTTGAGGAAGACAGGCCTATGCCTTGTGATGCCATGTTATTGCCTATAAGCTCAACTCAGAACAGAAGTGTGGTGTCTTCCTCTTCCAGCATGAACCTTTCAAGGCTTTACGAATCATGAAAAGGATGTTAACATTAGATTAAGATGTGCTGGTCTTTACAGAATATGGCTCTATGCTGTAGTCAGATGGAATAACTACTCCCAAGATATTCATTAGTAAGTATAATTTTGAAATATCTGTACCTAAATTCCTATTCAAAGATCCACCAAGAGAAATAATATTTGTTGAGGTTTGACTCAGGAAGGACAGGTTCTAAAATTTACTCATAGATGAACTAGCATCTTATTGATTTTATCTTTCGATTTTTTAATAATGTTTTAACTTCCCTGTACTTTGGGCTATATTGAAACATGTTATAAGGAACAATCTTATGAAAGAGTACTGTGAGAACTACACACTTCCTGTTGAGTTGCTCCTCATAGCTCGCAGTGATATTCTGAGATGACTCAGTGGAAATCCTTCTCCATTCTGAGTAACAGGATCAAGGAAGTAAGAACTGTAAGTTTTAACCTTATGGTCCATGAAATGAATAACTGATCCTGTTTCTCTTGTTGTGTCAGCTGCTATAAATCTTAGAATTATTTTTTTACCAGGCTTCAAACATATATAGAAATCATGTTACAAATGTTATGATCTAACCTTATCATTTGCTTCAGATTTCTCCTACTTATCTTGATTTACTAAATACTTCTTTAAAAGCTGCTTTAAATCCCTTCCAATATAAAACAGACTGTTAATAATAAATTGTGTTTGAATGCATTTTCTTTCCACTCTACAAAGCCTTTCTCAAAACAATGAGTAAGCCTAAGGCAAGGATCTAACATAGTCATAGTTTAGGGTCTTTGGGAAGTGAACAATAAAATGAGATGGAGTTGACAGTACAGGATATTTATTAAGGGATATCCTTGTGATAAATCCTTGGAGAAGGAAGAAAGTGGGATTGAACAGAGCAAGATGATAAACTGCAGTACATACTGCTCAACAGCTTCAGCTGCCTACGGCCAAATGACCCATCAGAGTCACTTTCCTTAGGCTGAAAGAGAGCGGCCTTTATGCTTCCTGCTCAATCAGTCATCAGATACTGGTTGCTCTAGGCAGAGGTTGACTTTGGGCAAGGTGGTTCTCTAGGCTACCTTCAAAAGGGTTGACCATTAAATATCATTTGCTAATGTCATTTGCTTGACACCTTGCAAGCCCATCCTTGTAAAGAGAAGCATAGCACACTATCTATCACTGAACAATTAGGTAACTTGATTTATTAGCAACATCCTATATAATAAAAGCCTAATATGGTAAGTGTCCAGTCGTCCATTTGGCTGTTCAACCAATCAAAGAGTAATACTAGTATGCTAATGATATGCTAAGGCTGCTCAACCACTCACTATGACATGCATTGACCACTAGGGAGCAGACAGTTGACTGGTCAGCCAGTTGCTATTACGTGCACTAACCACCAGGGAGCAGACACTCTAACCAATAGGTTAGCTTACTGCTGGGGTCCAGCTGATCAGGAGTGAGCGAGACGGGCCAGACATGTCCTGGAGCCCTCCCGTGGTCCCTCCTTGGCTGGCCAACCTCTCACATCCCTCCCTGGCCCTGATCATGCACCAGTGGGGTCCCTCGGCCTGGCCTGCACACTCTCACAACCCAGGACCCTTCAGGGGATGTCGGAGAGCCGGTTTCAGCCCGATCCCACAGGACAGGCTGAGGGACCTCACTGGAGCATGAATTCGTGCACTGGGTCTCTAGTATTACTTATAAGTAATTTTTTCACTGAGTTTGTTAGCTAATTTCTAACCCTTTAAGCAAAACCCAAATTCACCACATTCTTCAAATTCCATGAGTACATGCATTTTTCGGCTCAGTTGGTGAAAGAAAATAAAGCACACTTGCAGGGTAAATACAAGATGCCACTGTCTGAAAATTGTTTTGTATGGTGCACAATGGAAGTGTTCTACAAATGCTATGAATATATGTTTTTAATTTTTTAACTGAAATCTTTTTTACCTTTCAAATCAAAAGCTCATGATCACAACGGATTTTTTACTTATTTATTTTTTGGTCATCTGTCTGTTTGGTTTTGACTGCCATGGATCTTAAGACCTTCTGAGGCCTCATCTTTCCAATGAGAACATTAGAGTTTAGAGAGGCTTGATAATTACCCACTTCATGAAGAAAATTTTAGAATTGAATCCAGGTTTTCTAACCCATATCCCAGTGTTTTTTCTCCCTCATTGCTCCATTCATTAGAGCTATTGATATTAATAGCTCTAATAAATCAATAGCACCAACGAATTTCCCATGCACAATGTCAGCCTTGGCATGATATCCCATTTATTCCCTCTCTCTAAAATGATTTTAAGTAGCTTCTTTGAGTACATAGTTGCAACAATTAAAGATGAGCTTTATTTTTTTATCAGCCAATGTTTGTTTGACATTGGTGATTACTACCCTTCTTTCAATTGCTAAATTTCTTTTTCTTGCTGAGGAAAGGCTTAACAAATTGTTTGGCAAAGAACATACACTTCAAAACTATCCAGATACACTGAGCACCAGACAACAGAACAAATTCAGAGACTGAAGAGATGAGCACATCAGTTTATTTCCGTTCTTTGAGAGGAAATGCAGCTTAAGCAGGCTTGACTTTTCATGACATTTGCTAAGTTCTTGAATTGACTGACAAGCCTATTAATGGATTCCCTGAACTTTATTAATGTAATTGGAAAACTGCTCACATGCCAATCAACTTCTAATAAGTAATTATGCTCATAAATATGTAAAATTATTAGCTTTTAATTTGTCCCAAGCACATGCTTTCAACATAGTAACCAATTTTTCTTCTAGAGGAACAAAACGTAATACTGGTAAAACATTCAATGAGTGTGTTCCTAATACGCATTCCCTGAAGTGGTACTCAAAAGTTCACCATCATCAAATGGCCAGCAAAAAAGAATGCCAGAGTAAGGCGTGCGACAGCTTTTAAAATGTGCATAATACTAAACAATCTATGTAACATAAGGTTAGAAAGAAATCCTATGGAAATCAAACAAGTTTCTAGGCAGGCTTATATATCCATAATCTGGTTTAAAAATCTCCTCCAAACATGGAACAAGAAAGAATGAGAAAAAATGAAAGAGGGATATATTCATGATCTAAAATACATCATTTAAATCTAAGCAAAACATTTGTATCTCAAGTCACTCAAATATATTATTGTCCAAGTTTACTTTTTCTTATGTAATAAGAATCTTTTGTAGTCTCTGAGCTAGAAACACAAGTCAAAGGGCACTGAACTACACAAGAGAATCAGATTAGGCCTAGATACAGAAGAAATGTGTTTCTGACTTATAACCTCATGTTAGTTTTTGAAGCTGGACAAAATCCTGCCCTCTGGAATCTCTGGATAATCTCTGAATAAAGGTGGGCTTTGGTGAAAAGTACTATCTTCTCCTATGCTTTTGAAGGCGGGGTTTCTTAGAGTTAGCAATGATCAAAATAAGAAAAGCCAATGAGAAAATTCACTGATTTAATTCTCCATTATATTTTCTTCCTTAAAGTTAATAGCTTAATTAATAAATTTAATTTTTATCACAGTTAAAATATTTACTAACAATGGAAGTTGTATTTGAATTCAGGTTTACATTTATATAAGGAAATAGATTAACAATATTTTCCAGATATAAGCCACTTGCATAAATTAACACTTATTAGTAGTGTAAATTATTAGAAGGGTTAACTCAGAGGTAGTACAAATAACTTGCTTACTCAGCATTCCTGTTAGGAATAAAACATGTATTCACTGGCACCACATTATCATACAATTTGTTATTAATTTTACTTAGAAATGATGCAATGTCATTTTGAGTTCCACAACATAATATTTCTATGCAACCAAACCATGATTAATCTAAAACGCATGAGGAAATAATGTAAATGGCAAAAATATACATTTTCCATTCTATTTGCATTATAATTTCATTTTTCTTGAGAAGCATTTGTGTTCAGAATAAATATGCTCTTACATTTTAGTGTGCAAGAAAAATAACATAATTTGATGATTCTTTTTGTATTTGGAGATTGCAAGTTAGCTAGCATGATTTATGATCTACTGAAAGTATGGCAAAGTAGAAAGCATTGTGTATCATATTTTTTCAATTACTCTATATTTAAATTAAGTATTTCTAGAAGGCTGCTTCTTTTCATTGTAACTTTAATCAAAGTAAACAGAAATTGGATTGAGACAGAATGTTGGAAACCTGCAGAATTACTTTTAAAGAGTTATTCTCCATATTTTAAAAAGTTCTAATATTTTAATGTATCCCTCATGGGTTATCAGATATTTATTTTAATGTATCAATCATGGGTTCTCAAAGATTTATTGAAGGGGTAACTCAAAGGAAGATAAGAAGTGAATCATACACAAAAAATCACAATGTGATGTGAATTGATTTTATCTTGGTATGTGGTGATTCATATGACTATAATACCCATTACACTTAATGGAATCTAGGAACATAAATCCCTGAAGACTATGACCACATGTCTTTCAACATTGTCAGTTACTTCTGAATAATTTTGCTATCTAAAGATTGAACATTTCTGCCCTAGCTGGTTTGGCTCAGTGGGCAGAGCGTCGGCCTGCAAACTGAAAGGTCTCAGGTTCGATTCCAGTCAAGGGCACATGCCCAGGTTGTGGGCCCGATCCCCAGTAGGGGACTTGAAGGAGCCAGCCCATCCATAATTCTCTCTCATCATGGATGTTTCTATCTTTCTCTCCCTCTTCCTTCCTCTCTGAAATCAATAAAAATGTATTTTAAAAAATAAAATATAAAGATTGAACATTTCTAAGCATAGTCCCTCCCAGTAGAGCAGTTATGGAAATGCATACCTTGCACAGTTAGATGCACCTGCATTGTTCTCGGCGTATGTTGAGTCTGAACAGAGCACGTGTATGGGCCATCATCTGTCACATCCACATTTTGTATCTGGAGGCTGTAGTCCCTTTTATTCAATGTTGAAATTGAAACTCGAGGATCCACGGACCACTTATCACCTCCCGCAAAAATAATACTTGACCGGTTCAGCCAGGCACCCTTTGAAGCTCCATCTTCCAAATAACACCTACAAATTACCAGAGACAGAACACTATTAATCAAATGAAAATGAGAGACATTATCTTTGTTCTGACTGTATTCTCATCTGATGAATTATAGCACTTCATCACATCCTAACATCAGACATAAATACGGGAAACATGAACACACTGGTAGGTCTCCATTCCCAATACAAATGTGAAACAATACCCGCATACAGTTTTGTTTTGTGAGAGCATGTGTGCGTGTGTTTTTATTGAAAGCCAGTCAAAATCAGTTTTCATTCTTTCTGTGTGACAAGTAAATTTAATAAGGCTAAATTAGTTCATGTAACAATTTCTGACATTAAAACACATTCTGTTCTTTGAAATAATAAGTAGGAAAGGTGTACGAGTCAGCCTCTAATTCTGAATATAATGTACCAGATTCAGAAAGCAAAGCATAGAATAGTACCATATACATGTTTAATTTTAAAATCTCCTGCGATTTCAGAGTGGTAAGTTTGCACACTAAAATTATAAACTGCATTTCACTGATAATATTGCTGCTGTAATTAAATGTAGCAATTTTAGTAGTAAATTTTTGCTGCCTTTTCAATGAACTGACCAGCAGTTTTTCCAGGTAGCATTCATTTAATCAATAAACATTTATGAAGCATCTACTACTTATGGGTTAAAAAAAAAAGATATTATCCTTACTCTTCTAAATGTTTAGTCTAGTAAGGAAGACAACCAAAGAATGTAGTTAATACTGTACATTAATAAAAAATAATGTTATTAATTCAAGCTAAGGTCCACGAGAGACAAAAGGGGGTTACTTGACTCAGTAAGGGTGTTGGGGTATAGAAAATGGCTTTCTGAAATTGGATAGGATAGGGAATGCCCGAGCTAAAGCAGTGCGAAGTGGAAGACGTAGCCTTTTAGACAGAGGTGCTGTACGTGGGCAACACCATGGAAAGGTGAGAGAAACAGGCATTCCCAGGATGTACAAATAAGCATGAGCTATAAGGGAAAGATGAGAGAGGCACCTGGAACGGTGAACTGGAACCAGGGGATGATGATAGTAAGAATGATGACAGTAGATTTTGAGGCCAAATTTGAAGCCATTTATTCAAAGTTGTACTCTGTAACAAGATTCAACTATATAGCTTTGAATCTGATAGAAGTCGGGCACATCAAGACTTAGAACAGAAGGCTCTGGTCATATGTCAGTGATTTTGCTGAGGCCTGGAATTCTGTTTCATCTGGAAAACATTCTGATACAAATTAAAGACTGGTTCTCTTAAATGAGTACAAAGCACAACTACAGAATGAAAATACACACACATCGAAATAGTTTGACAGCATTTCGACAGAACACCTTGGGGGACTGAACACAGTGTTTGAGGTTGCTCCAAAATTGCAAGCTGAATGCAGCAGGGGTAGGTTGCTGCCAACTGCATGAAACTAATCAGTGGGTGAAAAAAATAAGGAACAGGGTACATTGCAGAATCTCATTTGTAGTCAGCTTCACCATCTACAGAATCCAAACTAGTGGAAGTCATGAAGGTCAGTGTTCATTGAAAAGTTTTTCTTTATATATGTAATGAAGACAATAAAACCCACTTTAATGATATAATTAAACAATTATAGTGTATTTCTATTCTTTTAAATATGCAGAAAGAAGATACAGGATGCCTATTTCCATTTCACAAGATCGCATGTATACTTTTGGGTACAATACTAACATACCACTACCAGGGTTGTGATAATTCCAACGTTTGTATTTACTATCTGGATTTGTGAAGTTTATTGTGTGACCTCTCCATTCATGGCCTTCACACATTACCTGGTGCTCATAACAACCCTGTGGTGTATGGATTGCTATGTCTAATTCATCACCAGGAAATAACTGGAGCTTTGGTTATATGACTTGCCTTAGCCACACCAGTAGTGAGTGGCAAAGTTGAATATATAATTGAGTCAAATATTTCTGCATCCAATGCCCTTTCCACCATAATGCATGCAGATCAAAGACTTTTCAAATAGGTTTCAGAAATGGGAAGAGTATTAGAATGTTGCAGATATTACTGCAAGTAATTTCTTATTTACTGAATATGACCGACTACTTAACCTGTCCTATTCTAAAGGAAGCAGAACATTAATTATTAATGGATATTTGACCATGAAAGTCTGATTTTGAACACTCTGCTCTGCATTTCCCTCTCCCTAGAGGCAGAAGCAGCTTTTCCTTTATGTGGGGGGTATGAGAGAACCACAGAGAGTAACTAGCTTATAAACACGAATGCTTTCATAGAGCTGATCTGGGTTGTAACTTCTAGTCTTAGCATAAGCACTGTTCCTCTGTCCTGGCATGTCAGGGACCATCAGGAAGAATAGAAGTTATGTTCTACTGTGAAAGTAAAAAAATGAGCCCTTATGTCCTCTGGGTTAGGTAACTATATTTCATAATTGCTATTGGCCCCAACTCAAAGCTTTTGAAGACATATATTAGAAAAATCCTCAAATGAGACTCAGAAAAAAAGAAGGAAAAAAAACACATTTTTTTTTTGTATTATTTCCTCGGATCGCTGCATAATTATTATCAAATTATACTACTGAGTTAGAACTTAAATAACTCAACTATAATGGATTTCATAAATTGGAAGTAGCAAATCGTTCTATTTCATAAAAATCATAAGTTACTTATATAGGGTTTATATATTTTAAGGTCAACTATAATATGATTATATAAAATATATGAAATAGGCCAAACAAATAAATCTATTCCTTGAGAATAACACCTATGTCCTCTACCTCCACATTCACCCTATTTTTTCCCCTTTACAATACAAAGGATTCTGCCTGGCATGTGTGCTGTATTAAGAAAGAATTCTGGAGGGAAGGAAGGAAGGTATCATGAACAGAGCCAGTCAGCGTGAACTCTTAACTGTGATGATAGACTATGCTATGTATTCTTAGAGCCGGACATCAGCAAGGGTGAGAGATTCTACCTGTTTAGGATGGAGTAATTCCTGTGTGAGGGAGAGGCTGGTGAAACAAAGATAGTCATGTAATTAATGAGAGCAGTATAAAGCCATAATTCTAGGTAGCAAACTCAGATCTTTTTATCCTCTCCAGATTTCTAAATGGAATATTTTAAGAGCCAGTGAGTTTAGGATCCCTGTAAGTATAGATAATAAAAATAATAATAAAAATGTTTAATAATGAATACATCCTTTAACTGAGTATGGCATGAATTTTCTTGAAAGTGTTTTATTTCTTTTTTAAAAAAAATCTTCTCCATTATCTACTTTATAGGGGGATGAGTGAAGCAGTTCAAAAATACACTCCTCAGCATAAGCTGTGTTAGCACCATGACAAATACTTCAATTTTCAGTCAATCATCCAGGTGTTTTGTATACATAGTTCCAAACATCTGGTTGTTAGAAATATGACAGCTATGTGGGGAGGATGGGTGAAGGGATGAGGAAAAAAAAGAGAAAGAACCCATTGACCAGGACAACAGTGTAGTGATGATAGGTGGGTGGAGGTGGAAGAGGGTATAGGGAGAATAAATGATGATGAAAAAAATAAAATTTAATGTTGTTTCATAATTTTTTTAAGACATAAAGAAAGAAAATAGCTGGAATATTTATTTTGTTTCACGATTGTTAATTATATCAACCCAACTTTGGGTTGATAAAATTAACCCAAAGTTAATGCATTCCTAATCAGAATTGCATTTACTTCTGAAGTCTCTGAAGGAGTGCCTTTATAAATGATATTACCACATATTAGCAGGCCCCTAGTTTGGGAGCAATAAGTTCTATTTGGTATGCTACTAGCTGATCAAACTGATGTTGGAATATTCTAACTGACTCTGTCTGTGATATTATCACCTGTGGTGATTAAATATGAAAGTTGGACCTCAGAGAGTTTAGTAGAAATTAGCATACTTAGGTTATTTATTATTTTTTAAAGCTCTATTAGGGAAAAAGCCTATAGCTACTGAGGAATGATTTGTTTCACTTTCATATCTCTAATGCCCTATAACACATTCCAAAAACATAATCCTTAGCCCCATTACCAGTATGCTACACACCAGGATTTATTCAAGTTTAGGGAAAGAGACCAGCTTTTCTCTAGACACGGTGATTAATGAAAGTTCTCATCAAAGGTACTAACTAAAAAAAGAAAATTTCTTTTATTAATTTCCCTTGGATTCAAAACTATGCCATGTGAAAACAATATTGCTGTGAAGAAACTGGCTAGCTACCTTCATGGCTGTCTTTTCATGGTATCACAAAGTTCTAAATTTGACAGGAGAACTTTTAAAAGAATACAGAGAAAATAAAATAAATTCAGAACCCATACATCCTCCATGCTAATTCTTGCATGCAAAGAGAGCATTGAGATCCTGAAGTCCAGGCCACAATGAAAGGAAGTAAAGCACAGATTAAAAGAAACAGAACAAATTCTATCTCTCTTTTACTTGTCTTTATTTTTAAGGCACTCTCTTTCTTAATGTCTTTCATGCCAGTTATTCACTTGATAACATCACAGGTAGACATAAACATAGAGATAGAGATGGAGATGGAGATAGAGATAGAGATGATAGAGATAGAGATAGTGATATAGAGGTAGAGATAGAGATCAATGTATATTAATATAGATAGACATGTGTATACATATATACATAAATAATTTTATGATTATATATTTAATATTTTCCAGATAATAATATCATTATATATAACATAGTGGTTGACTTAATACTTTAAGTTCTCTTTTACTACTATTATGACAAAATCTTATTTGTAGCAGAAACAATTATTGTTAACTTCTATTTCTTGGCAGGTGTAGGAGGTATAAGACTTTGTCAAGGAAAACCCACACAATCAACAGTTTGTCCAAATGAGCTTCAGTTACTTAATTAAGTACTCATGCCTTCTAAATAATGAGAATTGCATTTTATATAAATACCTATGTAAAATGTACTTGTGCAGGTAACAGCTAAATACTATTATGTAGAAAATACTATTATGGC